GAGAGAGAGAGAGAGAGAAAGAGAGAGAGAGAGAGAGAGAGATACGCATGGGGTATGTATATTCTACTGGAAATCGGCGACTCGCTTGCAAAGAGCGACAGGGAGAGGGAGAGAAAGGAGAGGGGCGAAGACACACCCCATCACACCCCGCACGCAGCCCCGCCAAGAGATCCCTGCACGCAGCATGCACATCACAGCCACAGTTTTACCATACACAGGTCCAATGGAACTTCTCCGACTTCAGCTGGCAAACTCAGCATCCCGACTGACATATCTGTATAATGCATTATTCCCCGGGCCAGCCTCATAATCCAAATCAATAAATGTATCCCAGGTACGACTCCATCGACGGCCTCGAGTAAGAAGCGACGGAGAGCTGCATCCTCCACTGTGTCACCTGACGAGGCAGTCTTCTTTCTCAGGTTGAGAGCATAATCTGATGCTGGTTGGTGCATTCTGCATTACATGTATGGCCCAAGGGGCTTTTGGTTGTGAAATGACATACCCGTGTGTGTGTGTGTGTGTGTGTTCAGGTGGAGACACAGCCGATGGATATCCATACGGCCACATCGCCGGCCAGCTCCGCTGGTACTCCGAAATCAACCTCAAGCTCCCGCCCCGGGATCCTCAAGAAAGCCGCACCTTTGGACAAGGACCCTGAGCCCAAACATGTAGCATCACTGTATGGGCCCACTGCACATGCAATTACTACGCATATTTGCTGCAGGAGAATGACCTCGAGACCCCGATGGTTGATCCCATGCAGCAGAGGACGCTTCGTGCTGACAAGAAAGCTGCCATCAGGGCGGCCAAGGGCAAAGGTAAGGGCAAAGGTAAGGGCAAGGATTCCAAGTCAAAGGCAAAGTCGAGCAGTGTCGAGGGCAACGAGAAAGGCAAGGGAAAGGGTTCCAAGAAGGGTTCGAAGACCAACTCGAGCAATGACGAGGCCGAGAGCAATAAGAAAGGTAAGGCAAAGGGCAAGGGCAAGGGCAAGGACACCGAGAGTGACAAGAGCAAGCCGAACGGCAAAAAGGGACCTGGCAAGAAATGCAAGAAGAGTCCAGAAGATCCGGAAGATCCCGAGCCTTCTGGCGAGCCGTCATCCGCTGTTCCGCCGAGGAAGTTGGGGTGTGGCAAGTGCAGATACCTCAAAGGAGGATGTTCGGTTTGCCGCAATCCTAACTTTAGGCCCCGAGGACCCCGAAGATCCTGAGCTGTTGCATCTTGCAGCCGATATCTTGAAGCTACGTATGCACGGAGCTTCGGGGACTTAACATGACTGAGTAGTCTATGTTTTTCGGTACAACGATCGCAATTATCATCTCCCCTGAGCTTCGGTGCATATACTCGGGTTGGGGGGCCTGCTGGAGTGATCGAACTGCAGACAATTCATTTGCAAACCCGTCCTAGGAGAGCTGTATGTCGGGCTCCGCTGAAGTGTTCGGTATAGGCTTATTATGGGGGCTTATAGGGATTATATGGGATTGGTTCCATTAGGGCTTTTATAGGTGGAGGTTATAACTAGCCAACACTACTCAATAGGGTCTTCAAGTCTGCCACGAAAACCAGCAGGCAGGCCAAAAGTGGCCTCTGGGAACATGAACATGCATGAGAGCCATAGACTCTGGTGCCAGGAGTGTACGAAAACAGTTGTATTCTTCCAGCTTGCTAGTCACCCCTACACGATCCTTGGGCTTCTGGGCTTACGTGTATAACGCCAAATCCTGGGCCAGACCGGGCTGTCATGTGTGCTTTAATCTGCACATCTCGACTCGTGTGCTTTGGGCATTAGGTGTGGCTGTGCTGCAGGCAACCGACTCCACAGGCCTGCAGTCTCCCCGCACGACCGAAAATGGTGCTGCACGTAGCATGCACAGGAACGATGCTGCTGTATCCATTGATCTTGCAATAGACTCAGTCCGGTAACCCTATAACCCCTGGCCGAACCTCACAAACCCTAAACCCTAGTGGCCCCCAAAGCCCTAAACCCAGACAAGTCCTCCAAAGCCTTTCCATGCCAGGTGACCGACACATCGCTCCATGGTTCGAGGCAGCAAGCTCCTAAAGGGCAAGCTCAAACGTGCCCCCGCTGTTTCGGCTGAGTTCGCATCACCGTCGGAGCAGTTGCAGCAGTTGGGTGCATTGCCAAGATGCGACTTCTGTGGTGGCTGTTGCACTTCAGTGTTGTGTTGTCATGCATATAAACCGCAGCAGTGGGCCTCGAAGCTTGAAACCTCGACTACATAAGCTGCCTCGCCTAGCAACCTGCAGCTCTAGAAGCCACTACGGCATGTTGTTCCGTCAGTAAGAACTCAAGCCAGAGTTTGCTGCAATGTATGTTTTTGTTTCACTGCTTCGTGACCCCTGGCATCAGCGACAACATCGACTTCACGCAGGCTTGGAGTCGCAGCCTTGTAACCGGAGCCACCGCCCCCGAAACCGCAGCCCCGGATCCTCGCCAACCCGCAAACCTACCGGCCCCGCCTGAATGAAGGTGGTATAGCGGGCTTTAGGGTGTGATAGGGGTTCTACGATGAGGGATTATAGTAGGTTCCTTAGATGGTCTTCGACGGGTCTGCCTATCTATCTATCTATCCATCTATCTAGCCAGTTACATGCCTACATGCCCACATGCATGGCTATATATACATAAATAGTCATACTTACCTACATGACGGCATACTTGCAAAACATATGTACATCATGCAGGCATACATACATACATACCTACAAGCATGCATGCATACATATATATATATATATATATACTTACACAGATGCATACATACATACATACACATACATACATATATAAATACATACAGCCAGAACACACACTTATACATAAACACATACATATATACACACATACATACATACACATGTACATAAATCCTTACATACATACATACATACATACACACAGTACACACACACACACACACTCACTCACTCACAGACATCCGTATATGCACACACACACACACAACCCCATACATCTGTACATCTCTAAATACATTTATGCACAGCACAAATCATGTGCACACAGGTATAAACATAAACACACACACACACACACGCATTCCTGAATGCATGCCTGTAGACAACACACAGACATACACACACACACACACACACACACCCGCACACACGCCGACATGCCATGCATGCTTACATATGCATGTGTACCTAAAGACATGCCTCCCTTTGCACACAGCAGGAAACTTAATATGTGCAATTAAGTGCCGAAGTTGCACTAAATAACCTTGGCCTACTCTCAGACAAAACCACGCATGCACACACAAGCTCTGGAATATACATTCGCACAAGTACATGCACATGTAAAGTCTATGGTGAAGAAACAGACAGTCGCTGGAGTTTGAAGAACATGTCTTCTTTGGCAACAGGTGCACACTGGTGTGGGCTTAACTACTCGTGGGGATCTTCGCCTCATCTGCCGCCCGGCAAATTGGAAACGGCCTTGTTTGTAACTCTTTGGCAATTGACTTGCCGCTGCTTCCTAGGAAACCGACGAACATCCGGATATGATTGGGGGTTCGGCTGCTTTGATGCAAGCGAGATATCGAACCCCATGCATTCTTCTGTCCTGCATAGATTATTCCCTGATCGTTCGCCACCCGAGGTTGTGCATGGCGACCATCGTCAGCTCCTGGGCTTGTGTCCGGTCATGGAATTATCCAGCAGCTTAGTTGTGCCTGGTGCCTTTGTCGTTGTAACTGCATGACCTCTTGTGGTTGCCTTTACAAGTGCCTCGACCGTGCAAGTGCTACCTCTTGCTTACACATGTTGAGGCCTACATGGTTGGCGAAAGATATGCTCAACTGGGGCGGCAATGGGCCCCTTTTTACCTCATCCTGTTGCTGACTCTGACGAATGCAGACCAAGGCACCCATCGCACGTGTTTGCATGTATCGTATGGGTCTTTAAGGGTGGCTTGGGTAGTTAACATACCGATGGCCAGTGGTGATGCTCTTTACATGATGATGGGTGTTGCTTCTGCATATATGGTTGTGGCTGCATGTGGGGCCTTAAACATGTGTGTGTGTGTGCATGGCTGTGATGAAACCCGCATATTATATTACGTAGTGAAGTATTGCCTCCTGTCCTACAAGGATCCCTTTACACGTGTACGGTTTGCGACCCCCGACAATAGATCAGGATATGGCTTGTCGAAATCACAATGCATTCGGTGGCCCTTCCCAGAACGTTCTATGCAGCCAATGCCCCTTGCACCAGGAAAGCCGCAGAGTCCGGCCAAATCTGGAGAGGAGCCATCGCAAAGATCCTGAGATGCAGCAGCCATGGTGTCACCGGTTAGGGTTGTGTAGTTTAGTCACCCTTTAGGTTTTGGGCTTGGGTGTGCTAGGTTACCCAAAGAGTAGCAGTGAAAGCTGCCACCGCATGCAGAGACGTCGGGCTGTCGCCAAACTAATATCAGCCACTACGGTTTTGAGTGTTTTTGTCGATCTTTGTAGCACAAACACAGAATTTTTAGCAACAGCCCTGTGGCGCAGAAGTCCGCAGAAGTGGCGCAGAAACCCACAGAAGTGGCGCAGAAAAGCATATGTTGCTTTTCCTCTCACATTTAGAAGGGTTTGTAGCAACTTTCAAGCAAGAGATGTATGTATAGACATTCGGTGTGCTGCTGTCGGTTCGAGGATCGGCTCTTGTGCTAGATGCTGCTGGATTGCAGAACTTGCTATGGCGAAGCCAAACCGCAAACGTCGTGCCGCTTCGTCGTCGTCGTTACACCTTGACAGCAGTAAGAAGCCCGTCAAGGAGGAGCCCGAACCCTCCCTGGAACAAATGATTCAGGACTGCTCGCTTGCCCTGATCATGAACTCAAATATATGTTAAGTTCCAACTTCGTACTCGTCATGCATTCACAACTTGCCTTCGTTCTTTGCAGGACGCCCAGAAAAGGCTCCAGCACCTGCAACAAAGTGTTCTGCTGCCTCCTGAACCGGTGCCAGCAGGGCATGAGTCATGAGGAGGGCAGTGCAGCACCCGAAGAGGCCGAGGAGCCACTTCATGATGCTGAAGTGCCGGCTGCAGAGGCCGAGGAGGCCGACACGCCGGAGCCGCCGTCCTCAGGGGGAAAGAGGGCGAAGAGAAAACTTCGCAGGAAGAAGACCCGCAGGCTTGTGCTAAGGGGTGATGATGAGGCCGACCAGGGGTATGGAGTCGGACACGTAGATGATGGGGTTGGGTCGGGGCATGAAAAGCCAAGCCATGGTGGTGAGGAGTTGGGAGTGGAGCTTGGAAAGCCGAGCCATGATGGTGAGGAGTTGGGGGTGGAGCTTGAAAAGCCGATGGGTCGTGTGGACTCCCCCAGCCGCTTGCATGGCAGCCAGGAAGATGCTCAGAACCCTTGGGCCACGTCTTCAACCCCAACCAAAGCACCAAAGGCAACCCCTGGATCCCGTAGCCGTAGAAAGGCCAAAGGCCTCACCGGCTTCACTCCAAAGTCTGCCACACCCCGCAAATCCCTGCTGCTATCTTTCGATGGTGCAGCCCAGGGTCCATGTGCTCTGTCACAAACCTTGCAGCTTCCAGATGAGGAGGCTCCTGGGCACCTGGATGCAGGCTATCACTCTCTCCTGGAGGCCACCCTGAGGGAGTTCGATGAGGAGGACGAGGACTGCTACATGGTGGGAGCCGTGACTTTGCTTAATTACAGAACCCCCCAGCTGATGTTCTTCAAGTTCTATAGTTACATCGTACTCCGTGTCTTTGTGCTGCAGTGATCACATCCCAGGATGGTTACGATGGCTCGCCATTGAAGAATTTCAAGGACGGCTATGATAGTTTCATGCTTGCGGTTGTACTTCTATATCCCCTGTCTTCTGTGCTTGCCTGGCAACATAAAAGCCGAGCAGGTCTTGAAGCCGATCAAGGCAGAGGAACCCGGGCACGACGATGATGAAATCACGCCTACAGAGGCGGAATCCCCAACAGGGGGTCCTGTCCCCGCACGGTCGCACCGAACTACGAAGCCCACTTCGAAAGCTCTCGCGATTACCAAAGCGAAGGTTCATTGTCTGCAATGCAGATGTATAGTTCTACCGGCATGTCGAACAAGTGTATGCATGTTCAGAGACGACAGATTACTGTTTGTGCAATGCAGGACAAAAAATCCAAGCTGGACCTCGACAACCTGAGCAAGACCGACCTGTCCCGACTGGAAGCTGCTCTGTACCGGTTGTGTGGCAATCGCCGCAAGGATGGTAGTGTTGCTGTACCAGAACACATACATCGTATGTGGAAGGCTGGAGGTAAGCAACGTCGTGAGCTCCGGAAGGTTCTCATTGAATGTGGGGAGGACAAGGACCGATCATGTGGGATTCGCCTGCATACTCGTCCTTACTTAGTTAACTGTGATTCAACCATATCCTGCAGGAGCTCTTCAAGCAGCAGGTCGTGCACACGTTCCAACAGGAACGGTCGAACGAGTTCAAAGTGAAAAGTGGGTTCTACACCGACGAGATGATGGAGAAAATCCTGAACTTTTCGGCGAGCCTTAATTGCATCATTCTGTCGTGCACGTGTGCACATGTTTATCGGTATTGTTCGCTGCTCACCCCCCAAAACCAACATCTAAGGTCCCGCCGCAAAGCCGTCAGGAAGTTTTGCCTCCGAAAGGAGAACCGCAAAACTCACGTGTTGCTGCTTGTCGGGCAACAGAATTGGTTCAGGATCGGTGTTGGTCGGTTGTGTCGACCACTCTCTCCGTCTCTCGCTCATGTAGGTATACGCATGTATTTATACTAATATGTATATATCTATACCAATATCTACCTAATATATATATATATATATATATATATTCATTCTCTTTCTTTTTCTCTTTCTCTCCCTCTCTCTCTCTCTCTGTCTCTCTCTCTCTGTCTCTCTCTCTGTCTCTCTCTCTGTCTCTCTCTCTGTCTCTCTCTCTCTCTCTCTCTCTCTCTCTCTCTCTCTCTCTCTCTCTCTCTCTCTCTCTCTCTCTCTCTCTCTCTCTCTCTCTCTCTCTCTCTCTCTCTCTCTCTCTCTCTCTCTCTCTCTCTCTCTCTCTCTCTGTGGTGGTGTCGGGTGCTTCCTGCTAAGTAAAGCAGAACTCTTTCTTTATCTGAGGAAGGACAAATACGAGAAGAAGCTCAAATGGTTCTGGGCCGATGTAGGATATGAAGGAACACTGACTGAGACCGACAGAGAGAAGTTGACAAGAGAGACGGAGATCGCCTCCGGTTCCAAGGTTGCCAAGGTACCCTTGGGCTTGAGTAGATCCCAGCCGCTTCGCCCGGACGCCGCAGCAAGCTCAGAGTCGGAGGATGATGTCGATGAGGATGACAGCGAAGATGAAAGCAGCGAAGAGGAATCAGACTCAGATGGAGCAGGAGCTAAGTCTGCTAAGCCGACCAAAGGAAAGGAGAAGAAAAAACGCAAGAAGGAGGAAGAGAAAGACGATGATGACGATGAGGTCTTGTCGTGGGTGCTTGAACACATGACCCTCCAGTCTGATGATTGCATGTACGACCAGTTCGATTTGTCATGTCGTCTATACTGCCAAGCTCCTCAAGCGATGTGAGAGTTTGGGCGCCGCCGAGTAGCTCGACTTTATGTGTACTTTGCTGAGTCTTTCCCGCAAGCCCGAACCCACATGAAACTCAATACGCATGGGCCTCGTTCTGAAACTTTGCACGAAACCTCTGTAAGGTGTTTTACATGGAATAGGAGTATAAATGCGAATGAAGCAAGTTCTCTAGCTAGGGCAAAAACTACAAAGGTCAGGGGTGGTTATAGGCTTGTATGTTAAGCCTTCTTTATGTTTCTGCATAAACCACATCGTGCCTAAAGGGTTCGGGATTTAACTGGTCTTCACGGGCTGATGAAGCTTGCTTTGGCGATGCTCGTGCTGCGGCCTGCTATGACTTACATGTGTTCAACTACAGGTTTCATTGTCGGGCCCAGGCTGGGGCTGGAGGTTCAACACTTCTAGAGTATGCTGGGTGTTATGGGGCAGGGCTTTTGGAGTTTGGTGGGTGCTATGGGTCTAAGGTTGAAAGGAAGCCACCTAAATTACTGACGGGTGTAGCTGGGTCTGACATTACCAATGGTTCCTAGAGCTGCACATATACTACTGTGATTCCACAGAGCATCTCAGGCAAGCCTCGAAGTTGAAGCAGCACAATGCCGATTTGTCCAAGCAGCACGACGAGCTGGCCGACTTCAAAGCAGCCCACGATTCGGATGGGAATCTTGATCACTCGTACCTCGCATGCATGTTTGGAAATGCACAATGCAATCAGTCTTCGTGCTTTATTATGGAAGGAAGGTGTCGGAGTTGATTAACAGCATCAACAAGCTGCTGCTCGGCATGATCTGATATCGTTTGGGCTGCTGTCACAAACATGCTGTAAAATATTGCTGTAGGAACTATCCCAACGAGCTTAGGACGAGCCGTATGACAATGGAGGAGAACAAGATCAATAAGTACTGCTCCTGGAATTACCGTCGCATCAGGTGTCCAACTTCAGTACATGTGTATGCAATCCAAATGTGTTTCGCTGTAATCACCAAGGACTGTGCTGAGTGGACTGAAGCCGGAGAAACCTGAACGGCCGAACGGGAAGCCTAAAGCCAAGGCTTCCAGCAAGAAGCCCCGCAAGTGATTCGATTGATTATGCCATAGATCTTGCAGCTACGGTTGCTTCGATGCTGTTGTCATGACCCAAGCATACAGCTGAGCTTCGGGAGCTTCGATCTTTACGCCTGGCGGCTAGGGGAATATGCTGCCTTCTTACGACTGGCTGCTCGCTGGCAAAATGCTCGCTAGCTAGATGTGCACCAAGCATGGCATTTGAGAAACCTCATGTTGCTGACCAATGCCAGAGTCCCTTCCCAAGCCATGCCAAAGATCGCATCTGCACGCAGGTACTCTATCCCAGCGATCCATCGAAAGCCTTGGATCCAAGTCTTCTGCCTCGGTCCCTGAATCTGGGCCTTTGGCGAAGGCCTTGACTAAAGGCTTGACGAAAGGTGTGCCTTGCTCAACAATTTTATCGCCTACACTTACCCCGAAGCCCTAGCCCCTGTTGCCTTCTGCACCCCAAAATGGTCGCCTCTGGAAGATACCTCGGACCGCTTAGAGTAGTTGGAGTCCTAGCTTTGCAGCACAATGTTCATATTCAGGATGTTTTGGGGGTTGCTTTGGGGGCAGGGGCTCTAGTGGTAACGGCTGCTGGGTTGGGGTCTTCTTCAGCAGGATGTGGATTGGGGGCTTTTAGGTCTACTTCGGGCTACCAATGTTAAGTAGTCTCTCGGTGGTTTCCATGCTCGGGCTTCTCTTTTGTCTTGTCGTTGTAGTTATGATGATGCGGTTCTTGTAATGTCAGAAATGGTTGTAACTGCTTATAGGCTAGCTGTTGCAAAGCCAAGGTGTCCCATGAGTTGGCTACAGAGCTGGCACAAGCCGTTGTATCGGAGGTTGAAGGGGCATTTGGTGACGAGGCTGCTGGTATGTTGCAATCTTCAAAACTTCTACTGGAGATGAGTCGAGGGTACTCTACCGGCCACGCAGCGAGTGTTACCAGAAAAGCTTTGGACTCCATGCCAGAAGTTCAAGTCCCTCTGCCAGTTACTTTGGTAGATGTCGGTCTGCCAGAATGTCACCCTTGCATCCTATTTTCCGACTACTTTCGTCTGCTGGCTGAAAGGGGCAGCTTGGAAACCTTGACTACAGGTGCAGACCTTCAATCTTTCTGGGACAAGATGCAGCCACTGAAACCCAATCATCCAGTATACAAGCTGCCTGCCGCAGACAGGGCTTTTACAGTCCCAATGTACTTGATCGGCGATGAGGGTCGGGGTTTCAAGAAGTCAGCCGTAATGGTGCTCGGCTCAGAATCGGTGCTTGGCCAAGGCTGTGAAGCAGAAGATGAACAGACTGCACAAGACGAGCTACGAATGAATTTCCGAGGGAACACCCTGCTTACAAGGCAGCTCTTTGCCGTCATGCCGAAAAAAAAGTATCAGAAGGATTCCACTCCACTTCGCAGGCTGGTGGATGCTTGGGCCGAGGATTTGGGCAAATGCTTCACCACTGGCCTGGAGATTCGCTCTGGCGGGTCAGTCCAGACATGGCGGATCGCGACACTTGGTTTGAAAGCCGATTGGCCGGCCCTAAGCAAGCTTGGCTGCTTAAACAGACACTATCTTCGTGAGTCCTACCCGTCTGGACATGGCATGTGTCACTGCTGTATGGCCAACACCCGGGAGTGCCCTACATGGCACGAACATGACTTTGACAGTGCGGCATGGGTCCGAAGCATTGCTACAGCTGTTGATCCTTGGAAAGCACGGGATGAATCAGGACTCACACGAATGATTCCGATGGAGATGGACAAGAAGCCCTTGTTCTACATGATAGATCTGTTTCATACCTTCCACAAGGGGGTCGGTGCAGACCTCGCCGGGTCAGGGTTGGCGCTTTTCCTGCACAATAGCATAAACCGTAAAATCTCCTACAAGCCCGCCCTTCTAACATATCACACCCTAAGGAAGCCTTCTTGAACCATCATAGTATTTATCCCAAAAGCCCGCCCAAGGTTTCCATAAGTGAGTTTGTACGTTTTTCGTTTCATCACTCATGAGCATCCGAGATTACCCTGTGGGACTTGAAAGTCACTGGTTGTACAGCTACTGGCCTCGACAAGAACCTTAGCTACCTCTTCGATGACATGAAAGCCTTCTCGCAGGCTAACAACCTGTACTTGCACATGTGCAATTTGACAAAAAGCCTTTTGGGCATTTCGAGTGCAGCAGACTTTCCGTATGGGTGCCCTGGCTTTTGTGATTCACATCTTTCTGTGGGTTTGTGGTGCTTTTTTATGCAATCGCGATCGTAGATTTTGTGTTTCTTGCACTTCTGACCCAGGGCTTGGTTCAAAGGTGCTGATACCACTTTTGTGATCAAATATCTGCTGTGGAAGTTTCAAGATGTGCTGGAGAAACACGAACTACAGGATTCGGATTCGCGATACTTGAGCGATATTCTTTCTTGCCTCAGATCCGCTGACGGCTTCATGAGTTCGCTCTACAGGGGGAGCCTTTTTCTCGGCCCCCGTTCTCTGCCCAAGGTCGTCCGGCTTGGTAGATCCATGGTACACATGTATGCCAAAATTGCAAGTTTGGCATATGAACGAGGCTTAGCACGATACAAGCTGAATCCCAAGTTCCACATGCTGCTCCACATTATTCTCCAGCTTCGGCTGGACCTGCACGCCAACCGTGAAGCATTGAGCCCGATTTCACATTCTTGTCAGATGGCGGAGGATGTCATAAATCGGATCGCGACTTTAGGTCGTGCTTGTGCCCCAAGAATGGTGGCTGAGCGAACTCTTTACTTGTACAAGGTTGAGCTTGCACGATTGTTGTAGGCGCTTGCAGTGAAAATGAGCGATTGTGTGAGGTTGGGGGGCCCAACATTTAGCCACCGCCCGGAGACCTGCCACCAGTGACGGGTTCCAACATTTAGCTTCAACTGCGGCGATTCAGGTACTACATATTTTGGGGGGTTCCTTATTATGCCTCATACAACTACCCAATACCAGACGGAGCCCTATATATGGTCACGCGCTCCGCAGCCCCCCCCCCCCAAAGGTCAATGGTCCGGATATAGGGTGGGGCCCCCCCCTCCCCTGTGGTGTGGGGTGTGGGGTTCCTCTTCCCCCTGTGGGTGGTTGTGGGGTTTTGGGGTTTAGGGTTTAGCTTAAGCTTGTGAGTTTTGGGTTTACGGTTACAGGGTATAAGGCTTCGAGTCGACAAGGGCTTAGGGAGGATTTGCGGTGTATGCTCTGCTTTAGGCTTAGAGCCTGCAGTTAGGTGGGGTTTAGGGTTGGGTGTAGCGTTTTAAGTACAAGTTAAGGTTGCTCAAAACAGGGGCATGCGCTGCGTTATAGGGTTTACGGCTTGCTTGTGAAGGGCTTGCGCGTGAGCCCTGGCGGCCAGCGCCACCCCACCATCCCGTGGCACCTCCAACGGCCCCCAACCCCTTTCCGCACACGCCAGGCCCCCCCCCCACCCCTATCAGACCATACCATTGGGGGGGGCGGGGGGCTGGGAACGCCAGACGCCTGACCATATATAAGGTCATTGAGGATCCTAGTGTTTGGCAGCATGTGCTTCGTGCACCTGCAGAGGTGTGCATTTCATGATGTTGCAGAACCCGTATATAGCCCGACCCGTTGTGTGCTCCGCACCCCGAAACTGACCTGCCCATGTGAACGGCAGCAGGACATGTGCAGCCACGGCTGGGGACCCGGTCCTTCCAGGGTTTGGTGTTTCAGGCTGGGAGGGTCAGACAGTTTCGGGGCGTGGGGTCAGTTTCGGGTGCGCGGGGTGGTCAAGATAGGGTTTATATGATCATATATAGTGTTCAGGGCTTGTGAATATAATGATTTATATAAACATATAGCGGTTCGAGAACTAATATAGGGCCTATATATGTATAACACTACATATTTTGGGGGGTTCCTTTATTATGCCACATACAACTACCCAATACCAGAGGGAGCCCTATATGTAAGGTCATTGAGGATCCTAGTGTTTGGCAGCGTGTGCTTCGTGTACCTGCAGAGGTGTGCATTTCATGATGTTGCAGAACCCGTATATAGCCCGACCCGTTGTGTGCTCCGCACCCCGAAACTGACCTGCCCATGTGAACGGCAGCAGGACATGTGCAGCCACGGCTGGGGACCCGGTCCTTTCAGGGTTTAGGTTCTTTCACATAGTGGGCGCCGATCGGCGCCCTAGGAGGGTTGACAGGTGCCGAACGGCTCCTTAGGAAGGTTGACACGTGCCGAACGGCGCCTGGTCAGGAAGGTGCCGAGTGGCGCCCGGTCTTTGGGTGCCGACGGCGCCCTGTAAGTTATACTTCTATATATATATATATATATATATATATATATGCATATATATATATATGTATATATATATATATATATACATATTACTCACACTACCACTATAGTGTCTACGGTTCTATATTAGGGGCCTGAATAATTACCTACACTATTTTTTGGGGTGGGTTCCTTTAAAGGGGTCTATAAGGGTTACTACACAGGATCCAGAGGGTATTACAACATGGTGCTTAAATATTTACCTCTACAAATTTGGGGGGTGTTATTGTCGTGGTTCCTTCTCATAATCATAGTAAAATGGGCCCCAAAACCTTAATTTGTTCTGATGATTAAGGCCCCTATATTGGGCTTCAGGGCTTTGGAGCGCTTTGCAGGAGTTTCGGGTTGAGACAATGCGGCGTGCGAATTTGGGGTCCCGTTTGGGGTTTAGCCTTTACCTATAGAGTAGCCAACTAAGGTGCCATTAAAAGGTGCATGTACCCATTCTTTTGAGGTCACATTCTATTTTTACAGGTGCGTTGGCTACTCTAAGTATAAATCTCCGGGCCTGGGGTGTAGGGCTGGGCTTTAACGCTATAGGCTGAGAGGCTTGAGGCACAGGGCTTGCGGGTCCGAGGATAGAGTTTAGGGTTTACGGGTTTAGGTTCAGGAGGTTTAGGGATAGAGTCTGTTCGGGGATTGAAGCGAAGGTACTACCACCTGACGGCGGTGTTGTATGGCGTTCCTTACTTAGATCGGCTGCAGGGTAAAATGCCCCAAGGGTCCATGTACCTCTATAGTATTTGCTCCTGTACATACGTGGAATAGGTCTATGCTGTTCGTAGACGAGTCTCAGCGACAAGGCCCTAAGCCTCAGGCCTTAAACGCGAAGCCCATGTCAAATCCCGATTTTTTCTTAGCCCTGAACCGTAAGCCCTTCACAAACGGGAGGCCTCTATAAAACGGGAGCCGAATTTTTAAATGGCAATATCCCACTATGGCCCTGGCTGCAACAGCCTCAAGGTGGATGTATGCTGCCCTGAGTGCAACACCTCCATCGCAGAGCGGTCGCTGCGCCAGGCATCCTGCACGACAGCCCAGTTTCTTGAAATACCAGATCTTCTCACTGTCTCTAAGTTCCCCCAATTCCGATTCCCAGGACCAGTTGCAGATACTTCCGTGGGGTACCCGTGTTTTCTATTTTTGCGATCCTAAGCAGAAGCTTGGGTATAGCTGAAAAAGGGAACTAGATCGGAAACTCAAGTGAAACCCTGGCGGTTGGATGCTCAGATTTTAGGGCTCGGCAATGACACAAAGCCTTATGAAACCTTGTTGCACCCTCCTCGATCTGTTCAAACCCTGCATTTTTCAGTCGTATTGAATCCCACTAAGCGAAGACCCAAACCCTAAACCCCTAAACCCTAAACCCTTAAATCCTAACCCTAGAGCCTAAACCCTGTGACGGCGAACTCGAGCGGGCGATGCCTTGCCAGGTGCTTCCGGCATCTCTGGTGGAGCAGCTTCTCACAAGGAGGGGTTTAAGGATACGTGGGTAGTTGTCTAAATTGAGGTCCATTTTTGGGTCTGATTATATCACGGCACCAAATATTTAGGGTACCCAAGAAGGGGCCATAATTTTGACAACTACCCACTTGTTGATGCGGTTTAGGGTCTGGGGTTCAGCGTTTCTAGGGTGTGGGCCTTAGTTTTGGGCTGATAGGGTTGAGGGCTTTTGGGGCTCAGGCTCGGGGTTTATTTGAAGGGTGCTGTTGAACAGAAAATACCTCGTCGCTGGGTTTCAGGAGAGTGACTACGGCAGTGCATGCTATTCTCTCATTATTATGATGGCTTAAGTCTTACAAGAGCACGTAGAGTGTAGGCTTCGCAAACGTTTTTGTGAGAATGTCATTCCGGAATGAACATTTCGTTCAACATCGTATATTATGTTCGTTGGGCCCAATCTTCGTGTTTGGTCGGTTGAGCCTTGAATGTGGGCCGTTTCGGTACATGGGCCCATTAGGGGTCGAGTTGACCCAGAGCAACCAGGATAATGTAGGGGCCTTAATAATTAAAATAGGGATGCGGGGGTAGAGTATATTTAATATACTACATTTGGAATTATCAGGAGCCTCCAAAGCCCTATTCTAATTATTAAAGCCCCTACATTACAGCACCCCCTTAACACCTTTTTGGAGCATGGCATGGGGAACGCATCTGCCCGTGTCAGGAGCTTGGAGCAAGCCGTGTCGGCTGCCAGCGACTGAGTCCACAGGAAACTTCATGAGCAGTTTCCCCATGAACCCCCCCAAACCGTAAACCCTGAACGGTTTGGGGTTTAGTCTAGATTGAAGGTATCCTAAACCCTAAACCTTGAACCACAAGCAAAAAAGATACTTCGCCCGACTCAGTCCGCAACCGTCAAAAACAGCACACATGATTACCTATACTACGACTTTTGGGGTTCCGTATTATATTTATAGTCTAGTGGGCCCTAAAACCCTATTCTAATATTGAATTCCCCTCTATTATAGTACCCTTCTAGATCCCTTATCGTATCCCTTCTTGTAACCCCTTCAAAGGAACCCTATTCTAATTATGAAGGACCCCCCACCACCATTAATCATCTCCAGACCCTGCCCCCGTCGGGTTCGAGTCTGGGGAGAGACCGATTGAGGTGAGATGGCTCGTGAGCTTCTGGCGAAGTACTGGGTATCGATTTGAGATTTCTTGTAAGTTCTCTTTATTGTTTACGACACAGCCCCCAATTCTACATAATTCAGGGAGACTGTTGAAAGCGACACCTAGAAGCTTGAAGAATCACCAGTCCTATTCCTCAGCGCTCGTAATTTCATACTTTGACTAGAATATCAGCCAAAACCTTAGAATCTATTCTAATCAAGCAGGTCCCCCTATCCTTCCCCTGTCAGATACTGCGACTGCGCTGCGCGATCTCCAACGAGAAGCATCCGAAGCCTCAGCACCCCGAAACCAGAAGAAGCCTTAAACCCTACTTGGAGGTTCATGGGTAATTAGAAGTAGGGTTATAAGTCCCCTAATATGGGTTATAAGTACAGCTACTCTACTGATAACTCTACTTATAACTGCCCATGAACCTCCAAGTAAGCCGCAACGAACCCCTTTTAATTTGGTGCCACAAGTATATATATATATATATATGTAGTTATATATCATGCGTGTGTATATACATACACGCACGCAAGATTGCAAGACAGCTTTGCCCAGGCACAGGACATTTATCCCTGCCCGACGCCGAACTGCTCCTTCAGAGTCGCTTTGGAGGCAGATGAGGGCTGTCATCGAGGCCCTAATAAACCTAAACACCGATATCCCTGAACCCTGAACCCTAAACCCCAATATCCCTGATATCCTAATATCCCTATATACCTAAACTCCAAGCCCAAATCGATCTCATGTGAATGCTACCCCGCACTGTCCTGCCCGTTTTTGGCAAGGGCGATCCCGGCCGACAAAGCCCAAACCCCTCTCAGAAAGCTAAGGACCCCTGCAGGAGTAGGAGC